GTTGTTGTTGATGGTGTTGGTGTTGGTGTTGGTGTTGGTGCTGGTGTTGGTGCTGCTGCGGTCGAACTCGAATTGTCCAAGAGTAGTAATTGTTGATCTCGCCCTCTCAGGTAACCATTATACTCTTTTGCGTAAAGTGCTTCTTCCAGGAATCGTATCTTGTTTCCCCCGAAACAATTAAGGAGAGTGAGGTGTTACCAAATTGTGCCCCTGGCCCCCGGTTTAGAACAACAGCGGCTCCCGCTTGATACGTCTTCACACTGTAATCCCAGATCGCGCTCTCGCGCGGGACTTCCTCACAATTTATAAAGGACTCGTGCTCGCGTGGGATTTCTTCACAATTTATTCACGCGCCGCGCCCTCGACACTCAGGACTCACTCTCTCGCTGTGGATTTCCTCACGATTTATTCGGGGATCGCGCTATCGCTCGAGACTGCCTCGCGATTCATGCAGGACGCACGCTTCAGCAACCCGCGTGCCCCTTGTCCCCTCCTTCCATCCGTCCTCTCGTCCCCTGCCTTCGGGACTGCACGCAATACACGTTGTCGGTAAGAAAGGGGATACAATCGGAAACGAAGAAGGAAATTAGCTTGGCGAAGGACCCAGCCATATGCAGCTGTGAATACCGCAAATATGAATATCGTTTTCGGTGGCGCTACCTCCGGGTAGGGGAGACGCATGCGAACACCCCCATTGGGGCCTTCGGTGGAGCTCCCTATGGGGCCACGAAACGATGCCCTGGGTGGGGGAACCGCATGCGGGCACCCCCACTGGGGCCTTCGGTGCAGCTCCCTATGGGGCCACGAAGCGCTGCCCTGGGTGGGGGAACCGCATGCGGGCACCCCCACTGGGGCCTACGGTGGAGCTCCCTATGGGGCTACGGAACGCTGCCCTGTGTGGGGGAACCGCATGCGGGCAGCCACACTGGGGCCTTCGGTGGAGCTCCCTATGGGGCAACGAAACGCTGCCCTGGGTAGGGGAACTGCATGTGGGCACCCCCACCGGGGCCTTCGGTGGAGCTCCCAATGGGGCTACGAAACGCTGCCCTGGGTGGGGGAACCGCATGTGGACACCCCCACTGGGGCCTACGGTGGAGCTCCCTATGGGGCGAAACTGGGTGGGGGAACCGCACACCCCCACTGGGGCCTTCGGTGGAGCTATGGGGCAACGCGCTGCCCTGGGGGGGAACCGCATGTGGACACCCCCTGGGGCCTTCGGTGGAGCTCCCTATGGGGCCACGAAGGCTGCCCTGGGTGGGGGAACCGCATGCGAACCCCACTGGGGCCTTCGGTGGAGCTCCCTATGGGGCTACGAAACGCTGCCCTGGGTGGGGGAACCGCATGTGGACACCCCCACTGGGGCCTTCGGTGGAGCTCCCTATGGGGCTACGAAACGCTGCCCTGGGTGGGGGAACCGCATGTGGACACCCCCACTGGGGCCTTCGGTGGAGCTCCCTATGGGGCTACGAAACGCTGCCCTGGGTGGGGGAACCGCATGTGGACACCCCCACTGGGGCCTTCGGTGGAGCTCCCTATGGGGCTACGAAACGCTGCCCTGGGTGGGGGAACCGCATGTGGACACCCCCACTGGGGCCTTCGGTGGAGCTCCCTATGGGGCCACGAAACGCTGCCCTGGGTGGGGGAACCGCATGTGGACACCCCCACTGGGGCCTTCGGTGGAGCTCCCTATGGGGCAACGAAACGCTGCCCTGGGTGGGGGAACCGCAAGTGGACACCCCCACTGGGGCCTTCGGTGGAGCTCCCTATGGGGCTACGAAACGGTGCCCTGGGTGGGGGAACCGCATGTGGACACCCCCACTGGGGCCTTCGGTGGAGCTCCCTATGGGGCCACGAAACGTGTGAGAGGTGTGTCGAGAGCAGAGGCAAGGAGGGGGAGGAGGGAGGAGGGGGAGGAGGGCGGGAAAGAAGGAGAGTTACGCGGGGCGCCGTCTCTTCAAAACGAGGACCCAACACCACAGGATGGTTGGGAACAGTCGAGGGTTTGGGATATACGTGTTGACTGGCAAGCGAACAGGTAAGAGCGAACATTATCAACATGAGTGTTGTTGTTGCTGCTGTTGTTGTGGTTGTTGTTGGTGTTGTTGTTGTTGTTGTTGTTGTTGTTGTTGTTGTTGGTGGTGGTGCTGCTGATAGTGATGTTGTTGCTGCTGTTGCTGCTGCTGTTTGTGTTGTTGGTGGTGGTGTTGTTATTGATACTGTTGCTGTTTATGTTGTTGTTGTTGTTGGTGTTGTTGTTGTTGCTGTTGCTGTTGTTGTTGGTGTTGTCGTTGTTGTGTTTGTTGTTGTTGTGGAACATTATTTATTCTAAAGAATAATTATTGTTGGGCCCCCTGGTGCGCGCCCCCCCTGCGCCGCCTAGGCCGCAGCTACATTTTCATCATTTTCGTGAGGAAGCCTCAGAAAAGAGGGTGTGTACAGGATCCGGTTGTTTTGTTGTAATCCGCTTTCCCTTGCAAAAAACAATAGAAAATGACATTTCTTGTTCTAATATAATCAAATTTCAAGAATCCCTTGCAAAAAATAAGGTAAAGTGGACATTCGCGCGCGCAAGACGAAATCCTTCCAAAACCTTAGTGTTCGGAGCGATTTTAACATAAAAACATCAAAAAACCAATGGTTTTTCAACAAAAAAATGTCAAAATCTCATCCCGCGCGCTCTTGCGGATTCGTAGGAAACCCAACACTTTTTAAACATTTCTGTCAAACGGGCTTTTGCGAGCAACTTTTTCGAACTTCTGCGACAACGGTTGCGCACCTGCCAGGGCCATCATCCCTGTCAAATAATACCATGCGGGACACATTCGTTTTTTCTTCGCGCGCGCACGCCGTCGTCGTCGGCCGCGGGGCCCTGAATAGTAGCCACGGTCGTCCGCATGCCACGAAGTGAAGTGTCCGAACGTCATAGGGCGGGAAGCTGGGTGTGGGTGGTGGCGAAGAGTCGTTTGGAAATTTGGTAGAGCTTGAACCGGCCCCCCCACAAAGTGGGGGTATTGCCCGCCTCCTATGAAAACCCTGGCACTGGTGAGAACGGAGTGTCCCCACGTGCTAGTAATTGTTGTTGTTGTTGTTGTTGTTGGTGGTGGTGTTGCTGTTGCTGTTGTTGTCGGTGTTGTTGGTGTTGTTGTTGTTGTTGTTGGTGGTGGTGGTGTTGTTGGTGTTGTTGGTGTTGTTGTTGTGATTGCTGTTGTTGTCGTGGCTGGTGTTGCTGTTGTTGGTGTTGCTGTTGCTGGGTTGTTGCTGTTGTTGCTGTTGTTGCTGGCGGCGGGTGCGGGTGCCCTCGCGTTGTCGGGTGCTCGAGGCTCGAGGCTTTGGGGGGCACCCGCAGGTTCCAGAGGCCCTCCAGGCTCGGGATGCTGCTCCTCCTCCTCCTCCTCCTCCTCCTCCTCCTCCTTTCCAGCAGCTTTGCCTCGTCGAGAGCGTTCCGGTGGCGCCCAGATCGGCGCGAACGGCCACCTGAGGCCTGAGATTTGGCCCGGAAAGAGCAGACCCCCTCGCCTCCAGGTTCGAGGTTTTCTGGGGCACTCGCAGGTTCCAGAGGTTCTCCAGCCTCGCGATGCTGTCCGGCAGCTTCGCCTCGCCGAGTGTGTTCCGGTGGTGCCCAGATCGTCGCGAACGGCCGCCCAAGGCCCGGGCGATGTCCCGGAAGGCATACATCTTCGCGTCGCGCACAGTGAAACAAACATTGTGAATCACGACGGAAGGCTTCTCTCAATGCTCGGCCTCGGCAGTGGCCCTTGCCGGCCCTGGAGCCGTCACACACACACGCACCCCAAGAAGACGATATCGGAATGAAGAGACGGCCCCAGGAAAGTGGCCCGCAGACATCCCGGGATCTGCGTGGTGAAGGGATCACGGCGTCGGAGGTCTGGGATTTGGGAGCCGCCAGCCTCCTCCAACGTTCTCCTGGCTGGCCTTGGTTTGGGTGCCGTGCGGAGCTGATCCGCCCTCCCTTCGCTCCGCTGCCTGCCCCGAGTCCGGGAGCCACCGCTGCACGGCCAGCCCCAGGTTCGGGATATATGGCCTTGGCTGAGCAGGGTCAGCGCTGACCCGGACCAGCGCGTCCCCGAACGAACTGCGACCTCGAACCATCGCAGGCCTAGAGGTTGACACCAACACCAATTTCGGCGGTGTGCCTCCACCGATGGAAGAAGATCCCGATCTCGGTGATGGTGGTCATAGTCTGGCTTCCAAGGTGGCCAAAATATTTCCATCAACACCGCAATGTAGGATCATCTTCCCCCTGTGGAGGCAGCCCCCTGTGTTGGTGTTGGTGCCCATTTCCAGGCCTCCAACTCCATCGATCCAGGATCGTGCATTTCAAACGGGGTGGGGCGAGAAGGGCGCTTTGCTGACACAGCTGGGGGCCTCTCAGAGCACGTCGTGCAGCCAGAAGGCTCTCCGGCTGGCGTTGTGCATGTTGTTTTCTTGCCTGGATGTGCAGCATGTCGAGGAATCGATTCCGGCCTCGGCGGCCTGAACCTTCTCAAGAAGGGTCCGGAGGCTTGTGAGAAGGTTCCTTTAAATTTGGGAGGACTTCTAAGAAGGCCCCCGCTTTTTTGGAAGCATCCCCCTCGCATTCTAAGAAGGCCGCCGCCCTCGTGTCTACCCCTCTACGTGCGCCGCGAATCAGCTCCCAGAAACGCCCCGCCCCCCCCTCCCACCATGGATGACGAAAACTTCTATCCAGACCGATCGCCTTCCCCGCGGGCTTCCCCCCCCCCTTCCCCCGAACACGCTGGATCCCTCATCCTCCGCCTCATCCTTCCCGATCCTCCTCAATCCTCCCTCCCTCGTTGCCTGCGTCCTGCGTGCTCCTCCTCCTCCTCCTCCTCCTCCTCCTCCTCCTTCTGCTTTGTTGGATCTCCTCCTCCTCCTCCTCCTCCTGCTCTTCCTCCTCGGTCCTCGTCGGTCTTTCTCCTCTTCGGCGCGGCCCTTGTGAGCCCTTCAAAAACAAGCGGGGATCCGGCCGCGCCCCTCAGCCGCCACCGCCGCCGCCCCGGCGGTTCCGCAGAGGCCCGCGAAGGCGGCCGGGCCGAAGGCCCGTCGACCGGGGCGATCGACCGCCTGCTCGCAGGCCTTGGCATTCCAGAGGGCTGAGACAGAGCCCCTGATACGCCCGTGTTGCAACGCGCGCCGTGTTCCAAACGTTTGTGTTATCACGTTGCGTGTTGGTTCGGTAAGTGATGGTCCACGCTGTAACGAAAGTATCGCGCCAGACCTTCGCTTTCCGTCGAATTGCGTGTTGAGGGCCGTGCCAACACGCCATTTACGTGCTGTGTGTTGCCTGTCAGGGCAGCCGGGGACGGAGCCCTCCAGGCTTGCAGTCTGAGTTGCCCACACGGAGGCCCCCCATCGCGAGGGCCCCGCGAGGGGAGGGCGAGGCCTGGTGGCCCCGCGGAGGGGCAGCCGACCAGCGCTCCCTTCCCCTGACCTCCCAGCCCAGACCCCCTCGGGCAAAGAAAAAAACATGACGGGAGGTTTTTCGCTGTTTGCGGCCTCTGGGGGTCCTCACCGGCCCTCGGGACCGTCAAAAACGACTCGGGATCAAAAACCGGTTCAGGGTAATGGGTCGAGACCTCCAGGGGTTGACGTAATGCAAAAAACATGACGTCGGGGGTCTGGGAGAAAGGCAACAAAAATAGCACAAGGACATTAGAGTTTAAATGCCGGTCGACGTCGAGGGTTCACGGTCAGGAGCGTAGCGTGTCGCGCCGCCGCTTTTGGCCCACCACGCTTCGGCGCGACGTGCCACACACGCAACGTCCCTGATCTTTTTTCGCCTCCCGTCCCACGAAGCAGAGCGACACACTATACACATGTTTCATTTCTAATTCTTCTGAAGCTTTTTGATTTTCTGGGGGGTCAAGATCCTTTCATTTCTAATTGTTCTATTCCGGGCCTCTTCCTGGCCACCAGGGGGCCAGAAACCATTAGAAATGAGCACGATTAGAAATGAGCGCGATGAGCAATGAAAGATGTGTAGGCTTGCAGGGCATGACGTAGTGGCCCCCGCCGCGAGATGTTACCAGAAGCAGTCCAGATAAGTCTGCAGCCTTGGATGTTCACGCTTTCAGCAATCTGGAAGGTCAGGGTCCCGGGTGTTGCCAGACACAGACCCCCTCGCGTCGTGAAAGGAAGTCACGACGGGTCCCAGCGCAAGGCTTTAGCCGTGTCTGGGCCCACGTGGGCCCCGGGTCCGTCAATCAAACAGCTCAGGTTGAAAAGTTGGCCCAGGGGGAAAGGGAAGTCCGAAGGATTGAACCTTCGGCGCTTCATCGGCTATCCATCGGGGATTGACTCTTTCCATTCTGGCGCTTCTCCTCGATCTCGCACCAGGGGGGCTACATTCTGCTCGGCTCCCTTGCATGGCAATCCATCAAAACTGGGCCTGGGATTTAAAATTGCCCCCGGGGAAGGAGTCGGGTGCCCATCGCCGGGAGCCAATCATCGGGGAAAAAGTCGGAGCTCATCGCTCTTGCCCCATGGGACCGCGGGCTGAAATCGGCAACATCCTCAGATGTCCTGGGGGAGCCCGTCGGTGACCGCCATCGTGGGCGGCCTTCGCCGCGTGAGCGTGGGAGGGTCCGCGGCAGGAAGCGGGCCCCAGACCCCTCGGGCGGTCCCCAGGACCAGCCCTTCATCCCGAGTCGTTTCTGTTGAGTGTCCAGCGGGGCCCGTGGAGGGCCCCACCCTTTGTGTCCTCCACCCTTTTCGGGGACCTCCCTGGGGGCCCCTGGACGGCCTCCGAGGGGGGCCCGAAGGCGGCGGGACACCTTCCCGGGACCCCTTCCCTCTGGGACCCGCTTCCCTGGACATCCGACGATGTGTTTTTATTCGATGCGCGGCCCGGCCCCATTCCTGGACCTCCGGCCCCGCACCCTCACAACGGCCATGCCCCCCGGCCGGCTTGGGGCAGGGGTGGTCCGCTTGTTTCTCTGATGCCCCTTGCTGGTCCCGCGGCCCAGCGCCGTGGACAAGGCGCGGCGGCGTGAGAGATCCACGGCTGCGGGCCCTCGCCCCTCAGACTAGACCGGCCGAGTGTGGTACCCAGTTGCCTGCGGCAAACCCCCGCCGCCGTGCCTGTGCAACAGCGCAGCAGGAAGGAGACTGAGTGTAGGCAATTCTGACAACTGGTCTGTACTGGGACGGGTCGTGAACTCGACCTCGTCTTCGTCCGCGCGGTAGGGGGGAGGTCGGGTTCACGCTCCGCTGCAGTTCATCGAGCGGTCTGAACTGAGGTGGGTCACTCAAGCTCATCTTCGTCCGGGCGGTGGGGAGGAGGAGTGGAGGAGGAGGAGGAGGAGGAGGAGGCGGAGGAGGAGAAGGAGGAGGAGGAGGAGGGGTAGGAGGTGCAGGAGCGGGAGAGAGAGAGAGAGAAACAAACAAAGAAGAAGGAATCATATGCAGTTGTGGATACCACAATTGTGAATATCTTCTTCGGTGAAGCTCCCTATGGGGCCACGAAGCGCTGCATTGGGTGGGGGGGGAACGCATGCGGGCTGTAGCACTGGGGCCGTCGGTGGAGCTCCCTATGGAACCACGAAGCGCTGTACTGGGCGTGTGAAAATGCCAAAGAGTGTGTGTGTGTGTGTGTGTGTGTGTGTGTGTGTGTGTGTGTGTGTGTGTGTGTGTGTGTGTGTGTGTGTGTGTGTGTGTGTGTGTGTGTGTGTGTGTGTGTGTGTGTGTGTGTGTGTGTGTGTGTGTGTGTGTGTGTGTGTGTGTGCGCGTGTGTGTGTGTGGGGGGGGGGGAGACGCGTGCGGGCGGTCCCGCTGGGAGCTTCGGTGGAGCTCCCTATGTGGCCACGAAGCGCTGCTTTGGGTGTGTGAAAATGCCAAACTGGGTGTGTGAGGCGCATACGGGCGGTCCCACTGGGGGCTTCGGTGGAGCTCCCTTTGTGGCCACGAATCGCTGTACTGAGCGGGTGAAAATGCCAAATTGAATGTGTGGGACGCACGCGGGTGGTCAAATTGGGGGCTTCGGTGGAGCTCCTTCTCGTGCCACCAGACGCTGTACTGAATGTGTGAAACTGCCAAACTGGGTTTCGGGACGCATGTGGGCGGTCCCACTGGGGGCTTCGGAGGAGCTCCCTATGGGGCCACGAAGCGCTGTACTGAGTGGGTGAAAATGCCAAATTGTGGACACTTCGCGGGTCCCCACCAGCCCATCCAGAAACGATGCCCAAAGGAATTGCCTCGATCAGGGAGGTGGGCAGCACACAGGGGAAACCATTATGAGACATCTTGGGACATCTGGAGCCATCTTGGAGGTCATCTTGGGCTCTCCCAGGCGCTCTTGGAGTCACCTTACTCAGTGCTCCCCCAAGAGGCTAACAAACGGCTAAAACCTGAGTCAAATCAATGATTTGGCATTCTCGCCGAGGCCTCTTGGAGCATCTCGGGTGCCTCTGGGGGGTCTCTGGGGGCCTCTTGGGGGCCTCTTGGGAGCCTCTTGGGGGCATCCTGGGGGTCTCTTGAGGTTTCCTGGCCACCTCTTGGGGCCCCCTTGGGGCACCCTTGGGAGCCTTGGGGGGCCATCTTTGGGCCATCTTGGGTGAGATCAATCACAGGAAGGGGGGTACTAATTACAGCCCCCCCTCAGGAGACCAAAATGGGGCCAAAACCATAGTAAAACCAATGAGTTTGGTTTCCTCGTCGAGGCCGTTTTAGACGCTCCGACACCTCGCGAAACCCCAAGTCCAGGTCCATGGGGAGGGGGTAGGGCAAGCTAGGTGCGCTCGCGTCATATCTGACATCCTACCCCTCCCTCCCATCCCTTACCATGGCGTAGATCCCCTTTCTACTCGCACAGTCGGATGTCGAGCAGGGCAATGGTCCCGAAAGGGTACGCGGTGCATTGTAGAGCACGGCATGGCATGGCGTAGAAGAGCACCGCAAAGCGCAGTATGTCACAGCATGGCGTGGCGTGGCGTAGTGAAGGATTGCATCACAAAGCTTTGCAACTCAAAGCACGGCATCGCACAGCGGCACCAAGCATAACATTGCATAGCATGGCGTTGCAGATCAAAGCGTAGCATGACATAGCACGACGTGGCACTTAAGCACTGCATATCACAGCTTCAGCTGAAGGCATGGCATCGCGCAGCGGAACGCAACCTAGCATTGCATTGCATGCCGTGGCATGGCACCGGAAATGACGCCAGCGCTGCAGCGGGAGCACGATTCGAAACGAGCGGAAGCGCGGAAATGAGGCCAGCGCTGCAGCGGGAGCACGAGTCGGAACGAGCGGAAGCACGGAAATGAGGCCAGCGCTGCAGCGGGAACACGATTCGGAACGAGCGGGGCCCGAAAATGAGGCCGGCGCCTCAGCGAGAGCAGCATTTTGAAAAAAATGCAGGCGGAAACCAACTCCGGGGAATCCTGTGTGTAAAAAACAGTACGCGGGGGGGGGGCGAACACTCCCAACCCGTCATCAGGGGAAGGAGGACAGTAGTATTCATATTGAGTAATTGTGGAGGAAAGGAAGGGTGGAATAGGCGACGCCCAGAGGGCTGGTGGGATTGGGCGTGCGGGACGCATGTGGGCAGTTCCACTGGGGGCTTCGGCGGAGCTCCCCATTGGGCCACGAAACGCTGTAATGGGTGGGCGAAAATGCCAAATTGGGCTTTCGGGGCGCATGCGAACGGTCCCACTGGGGCTGTCGGTGGGGCTCCCAAAGGGGCCACGAAACGCTGTATTGGGTGTGCGGGACGCATGCGGACGGTAGCACTGGGACCTTCGGTGGGGCTCCCTATGGGGCCACGAAGCGCTGTACTGGGTGTGCGGGACGCATGCAGACGGTAGCACTGGGACTTTCGGTGGGGTTCCCAATGCAGCCACGAAGCGCTTATTGGGTGGGTGAAACGCAGGAAGGAGGGAGGGGGGGGCACGAAACGCTGTACTGGGTGTGCGGGACGCATGCGGACGGTAGCAGTGGCACCTGCAACGCTGTCCTGGGTGGGTGAAACGCAGCGAGGAGAGAGGAGGGGGAGGAGGGGGAAGGAGGAGGGGAGGAGGAGTAGAGGAAAGGAACGCGGGGCACCGTCTCTTCAAAATGAGGACTCAGCACCACAGGATGGTTGGGAAAACATGAAGTCAAGGAGAAGGGCCTCTCGGGGGCTCTCTTGGGGCCTCTTGGGAGACTCTGGGGAGGCTCCGGGGGGCCCCTTGGGGGCCTCCTGAGGCCTCTTGGGCCGTCTCAGGGGGCTCTTGGCCCGTCTGACTTCTTCGGAGGCCATCTTGGGGGTCTCTCTGGACCGTCTTGGTGCCTTCTTGGAGCGCGTTAGGGGCGTCTTGGGGCCGTCTTGGGAGGCTCTCGGGGGGATCTTGGAGTCCTCTCGGGCCGACTGGGGACCTTCTTCGGGGCCTCACCGGCAGTCTTGGAGCTACCTTGGAGGCCTCTTTGGCCGTCTTGGGTGGTGTCGGGAACCCTACCAGGTGAGAACTTCCAAATCTTTAAAACACCTCTGGGACCTCAATGTGTTTCGCCTCCTCGGGCTCTCCTGGAGGGCATCTTGGAGCCTCTTGGGCCGTCATGGAAGCCTCTCGAGCAGTCTTGAGGCCATTTGGGAGTCTCTGATGCCGTCTTGGGCTATCTTGGGCCGTCGTTGTGTCATATTGGCTATCTTGGAAGCCGTCTTGGGAGCCTCTTGGGCCGATTGGAGGCGGAAAAGAATTCCAGGCAGCAAATGCAGGGGGGAACGGTTTCAAACCGATTCGTTTGACGAGATGGGGGCGGCCCTAGAACACCGCAAAACACCTTCCAGGCAACAGACGAGCATGTTAACACGCCCACTCCGCGCAGTCACGGTGGCGAGGGGCGACGGTGGCGGCCCCAAGACGGCCTCCGAGGCCCCCCAGACGCCCCAAGAGGCCCCCACGAGCACCTCCAAAAGGGATTCAGGAGCGAAAACCAATAGATTTTCAGAAGATTAGTTGAAGGATTTAGGGGTTTTCTATTTTTCTGGCCAAACACTGCCAAAGACGGCCCTGGAGGCCTCCGAGATCGCCAACAACGTCTCCAGAGGCTCCCAACAGGGCCTCAAGACGGCCCAGACGGCACAAGGATGGCCCCACAGAGCCCCAAGCGACTCCCAGGAGAGCCCCAAGGGGGCCACAGGAGGCTCCACAGAGGGCCCCAAGAGCGCCCCAAGCGGGCCCAAGCCTTCAAGATGGTCCAAGAGGGCCCCTGGACGGCCCACGAGGGCCCCAACACCATTTGAGCTTTCGGGAGTGAGGGAAGGGGGGCCCTGGGATCGGCGGTAGCAAGACGGTGCCCTGAGGGATGGGGCCCCAAGGACGGCCTCAAACAGCGTAAATTCAACCTGAGGCCCCCTCCTATCCTTGGCGCCCCGTCCCTCACGGCCCCATCTCCGCACCGCCGATGGGGGCGGTCCCACTTGAGATCTGCAGCCAGCAGACCTGCGCAGGCGTGGGCGCGGCTGGCGCACCTCCAGGAAGACTAGAATCGCATCGCTAAGTCGGATCGGCGATCGAAGTGAGTCGGATCAGCGGAAATCGGCAGCCAAGTCCGGGGAAGGCGGATCGGCGGAAATCGGAAGGCTAGTGACTAGTGAGCCCTCCGTTGAGAAGCAGGCGTCCAGATCGGAATCCGAAGTCGAATCGAGTCGGAATCGAGTCGAACCGAACTGGAGGGGGCGAAATGAGCCCTGGCCTCCCCCTTCTCAGGGAGGCTCCACGGAACTGCTTTTTCCGTTCCCGTGTCGGCCCAGGTTCTAACACGCCCACTCCGTGCAGTCACGGTGGCGGATGGAATATTCAGATCTTTTAGACCCCTTTGAATCGTTCTGGCGAAGACTTCCCAGGTGATGCCCCCTGGCGTATGTTGCCACCCACACCCTCTCGCGCTGTGGATTGGTCCCGACGGAAGCTTTCTGGCAGTTCCCGCCTTCTCGGGAGGAGAAGAAGTTGAGGAGAAGGGCAGGAGGAAGAAGGGGGAGAGGGAGGGGGGAGGGCAAGCTAGGTGCGCTCGCGTCATATCTGACATCCTACCCCTCCCTCCCATTGGATCCCTTACCATGGCGCAGATCCCCTCTCTACTCGCTCAGTCGGATGTCGCGCAGGGCAATGATGGGTACGCGATGCATTGTAGAGCACGGCATGGCATGGCGTAGAAGAGCACCGCAAAGCGTAGCATTAACCTAGCATTGCAGTGCATGCCGTGGCATGGCACGGGAAATGACGCCAGCGCTGCAGCGGGAGCACGATTCGGAACGAGCGGAAGCACGGAAATGAGGCCAGCGCTGCAGCGGGAACACGATTCGGAACGAGCGGGGCCCGAAAATGAGGCCGGCGCCTCAGCGAGAGCAGCATTTTGAAAACAAATACAGGCGAAAACCCAACTCCGGGGAAACTTATGTGCAAAAAACAGTACGCGGGGGGGGGGGGAACACTCCCAGGCCGTCATCAGGGGAAGAGGGAGAGTAGTATTCATATTGAGTACTTGTGGAGGAGGAGAGGGAGGGGGAGGGGGAAAAGGAGGAGGAGAAGTAGGAGGAGTAAGGGGGGGGGCAGGAGGGGGTCGAGGAGGAGGAGAATGATGATGATGATGATGATGATGATGATGATGATGATGATGATGATGATGATCATGATCATGATCATGATCATGATCATGATGATGATGATGATGATGATGATGATGCTGATGATGATGATGATACTGATACTGATACTGATACTGATACTGATATGACTGATACTGATACTGATACTGAAACTGAAACTGATACTGATGATGATGCTGATGCTGATGCTGATGCTGATGCTGATGCTGCTGCTGCTGATGAGGAGGAGGAGGAGGAGGAGGAGGAGGAGGAGGAGGAGGAGGAGGAGCGCGAAGTTGCCTGCGTTCTCTGGCAGGGGCGGGGTGGGAAGGGTTAACCAGGAGGAGGATGAGGAGGAGGAGGAAGAGGAGGACCAGGAGGAGGAGGTGGAGGAGGAGGAGGATGGCATGGCCACGGATGATGAGTTCTGCTTCCACCGCTGGATCCCGAGCCCAGGAGGTCGGTTGAGGCCCCCACAGGCCCGAGAGGTCAGGCCATCAAGCGACCAGGAGCCCTCAAAGCGCTCTCCATAAACTCCCCCCCCCTCCCCCCGAAAAAAACAGCCTCACGCCCAGACATCCGACCTCCCCGCCTCCCCGCGCCGCGAATAACAAAAACACGACGGATGGGTTTTACCGTTTTCGGCCTCGATGGGGGCCTCACGAGGCCCCCGGCCTGTCAAAAGGGGCCTTGGATGAAAGTCCACGTGCGAGGAGCGGGCCAGGACTTCTGAGATCCACATGGTGTCCTCTTCGATCCGTTTTCCCGCGGGTCGTTTTTCCTGCGGGCGCCATGTCTGACGGCCTCGGGGCTCGAAAGGGTCCCGTTGAATGCAAAATGGAAAGAAAAAGCGCACCCAGATGGCAGAGCTCTATCCGCCAGAGGCCCGAGGGGGTAGCAAGAAACTGACCGGAAGCAATTGAGGAGGGGGAAGAGAAGACCAGGGCATGGACGACCAGGAGGGGAAATCACCCTGGAGGACCGTGAGGCGATGGAGGACCACAGGAGGGGACGGAGGACGAGAGGAGGGGATGCAGGACCAGGATGGAGGACCAGGATGGGATGGAGGACCACACGAGGGGACGGAGGGCAACGGGCGGGGGTGGAGGACCAGGGACCCAGACCCCCGACGTCATGATTTTTTCATTACGTCGATCCCTGGAGGTCTCGACCCATTCCCCTGGACCGGCTTTTCATCCCGAGTCCTTTTTTGACGGTCCCGAGGGCCAGCAAGGGCCCCCAGAGGCCGAGAACAGCAAAAAACCTCCCGCCGTGATTGTTTCATTGCCCCGAGGGGGTCTGGGGATGGAGAGAGGCCCAGGAAGCGGAGGAGGCGAAAGACTGCCGAGCCCGAGAGGCCCCAGCGCCGAAGGCGGCCGCGCCCGCGGGCGCGGCCGCGGCCGCCAAGCCCGCGGAGGCGGGGGCCTCGGCGCGTGGAGCGGCCGCCGCGGGCCCGACTTTGGGGTCGGCTCCCGCCGCGGGAGGGGCCTCGTGCGCAACGCTGCGCGTCGCGCCGCCGGTTCTGGCCCACCACGCAGCGGCGCCCCCCTCGGGCAATGAAAGGATCATGGCGGAAGGGTTTTTGCTATTTTCGGCCTCCCCGGGCCCTTACCGGCCCTCGGGACCGCCAAAAAAGGGTTCGGGATGAAGAGCCGGTCCGGGGGAAGGGGTCGAGACCTCCAGGGGTCGACGCAATGAGAAAATCGTGACGTCGGGGGTCGACGCAATGAAAAAATCGTGACGTCGGGGGTCTGGGTCCGCAGTCCCCAGGCGTCAATGCCCCGAGCCTTTCCCAGCCTCCCGCCCCGCGGAGCGGAGCGGCACGACATCCGCCCGCGGGGCACGGCGTGCCGCAGCGGTCGCAGCCGCGACACGCCGAGCAGAGGCTCTTCTCTCCTCGAGCGGTCCTGACGAGCCCACTGTCGGGGAAACGTACGACTCGAGTAAGCCAGAAATCGGGTTCGCCGACTTTTTTTGACGAGCGCGTCCTGGATTTTGACGGTCCCGAGTCCGTGGGATGTCTGCAGCGGGATCCCGCGTCACATTTCAGATCGGGTCTCGTCATTTCTATGATGGCCCCCCGTCAGGCCAAAATTGAGTCCCCCGGTCTCCCCGATACTGGTCGCAAGAGGGCTACTTTTTAAGTCGGGCCTGTCCCTCCACAGGAGGGATGCTCAAAAATAGGCAAAACATAATATGGGGACGATTTTCTACTATGTTTGAACATGTTTGGGGTATTATGTGACTATTTTAAAAATGTTCGTCCAAAATCCGCCTGCAGGGGGACACGCCCGACTTCAGGCTACTTTTTGAAGCGCTCCCGAAGGTCGTGGGGCCACCCTCTCCCGAAGGTCACGGGCCACCCTTGCCCGTGAAGCGGAAGGTCACAGGACCACCCTCTCCCAGGTCCCAGGTCACGGGCCACCCTCTCCCGAAGGTCACGGGCCACCCTCTCCCGAAGGTCACAGGTCAGGGCCGCCTTCCACTCCGAAGGTCCTTGAAGCGCTTCCGAAGCACACGGGGCCACCCTCTCCGCATAACTGCTCCGAGCCAGGGCGCGGGGGCGCGCCCCCGGCGCGCGAGGCGCGCAGGTTCCGCGCCATCCCCCGCTGCTGGGGGGCGGGCCGGGCTGCCGCCGAAGGCCGTCCGCTGTGAGTTGTTCCGCGGCGCGGGCACGTCTCGAGCGAGGAGGACCCTGGATCCCTTGGGGCAAGGAGAGAATCATGCAGGGATGTTTTTTTTGCTATTCTCGGCCTTTGGGAGCCCTTGCCGGCCCTCGGGACAGTCAAAAAACTATTCAGGATGAAAAACCGGTCCAGGGGAATGGGTCGAGACCTCCAGGGGTCGACGTAATGAAAAAATCATGACGTCGGGGGTTTGGGGCACGTCTCGGGCGAGGAGAACCCAGGATCCTCCCGCCGCCAAATGATTGTAGTAGCGCTTGTCCGCTGCAGCGTTTCTGAGCCACTCCTCTGGGGTGCAGGTCGGGCCCCTGCCGCAGCGAGGGAGAGGGAAGCGGAGGAAGGAGGGAGGGGATAGACGATACGAAGGACTGATCCTTTCGATCCTGGCGTTCTTCCTTGATTTCGACAGTGGGGCCACATTCCCGGACCCCTTTGGGTCGTGGAACAATCACGGCGGGAGTGTTTTACTATTTTCGCCCCCCGGGGGTCCTCGCCGGGCCCTGAGACCGTCAAAAGACGTTCGGGATCAAATATCAGCCTCGGGAAATGCCGTCACTTCTGGAGATTTCGTAGCTAGTGGAAAACAAAGAACACGAATCGGATCTCTGGGTTCGGGCCATCGGTGGCATGCCCCCCTCCCCCCCAGCTCTTGCTGCCGGGGCGTCGCGAGAAAAGATCGAGACGGACGTCCTTTCGGCATTTCCGGCCGCCGGAGGCCAGTTCCTGGCCCCTGGGGCCGCGAGCTAACTGTTCGTCGGGATGTGAAGCCAGCCCCGGGGAAGGGGTCGATCGAGACCGTCCCCACGGGCCCACGTCACGAAAACGTTGGGTCGTCGGCGGAGGGGAAGAGCGGCCCTTCGCAGGAGCGACCTTGGGACACCTTGGGTGCGGGCCCGCGGGGGTTCCCCCAGCACCGGCCGGCGCGCCCGGACATGGCCAATCGTGGACAGCCTGAGGCCGCGCGCCCCAGGGCCCATAAGGCCACCCTCGCTTTCAGCCGATATCCCTGTAGCCACCTCGGCTCCAGCGGTCTCGGTCCGAGACCCCCTGCCCGAGGGGACGCCAGCTGCACATCAACCCCGATCTTCCAGGAGGGCCCAGCAGTGCAGCACCAGGGCCTTGGAGTTCTTGGCGCTTTACGCGCCCCTGCCAGCCAAGGCAGGACCGGTCCCCGGGCGCGCCGCCCTGCCGAGGGAGGTGTAGGAGGGCAAGCCACTAGGACAGGGAGGGGCGCAGCGAAGTTCGGGATCATTCTGAGCAGGCCCAAGGGTCAGCCATAGATCTCTTCGTGGATCTTGTCCGATCTGAGAGCCTCTTGGAAGCTCATTGGAACAACGTTGCCCCCCCTTCCCCGCCCCAGCGACTAACATGATACCAGCAGCTTTCGTGTGGGACGTCCTCAGGCACCAGCGGTTTCTGGCTCGGCTTCCTGAAGGTCTCTTGGGGGTCCGCGGTTTTCATTCATTCCGCGCTTCGTTCATTAATGAAGCCGGTATCCGCATGTAGATGTTTTTGCTTCAGAAGTCCTGGCCAAGCCGCAAGGCTCGGGCTGAACCGAACCCCAAGCGATTCTTACGTGATTTTCGCTGTGTTCTGCTGAGTTTAGTTGTCATTCTCATGTTTGGGGGGCGCGCGGGATGGGTTGTGTTGTTTGGTGTTATTTGCGATACCGTAGCGCCTGCCTGGTCGGGCCCCTACTCAGCTGGGCCCGCTTGGCTGCGATAACCATGTTGGCGCGACTCTGGGGTGCACTTAGGGGTGTCTCTTGGAGCCGCGATGGTGGCCATTCGGGCGTTCAGTGGGCCATCCTGGAACCATCGACGAACAATTCGCGCGCGGAGTGAGCGCCCCATCGAAACCGCGCACGTCACCAGGGTTACGTTGCAAGGGGGTCTGTGCCGTTCAAAAGTCATGAGCCGTTGACTCGACTGCCCAGGGGTTCTGAGTCCATGGCTCCAGGGCCCTCGGCTGTGGGCTTCGGCCCTTGACCATGGGACCCTCGAGTCGTGGGCTCTTCCTCATGGGGCTCAGGCTGGCCTGCTCCCTTCGCTGCAGGGCCCCAGATGCAGCCCTCGTCTCTGGGCACCAGGTCTCGTGGGCCCTCGAAAATGCGTCCGAGGAAGTCGCGCACCCTCGGGTGAAGGTCCGAAGAGTCGTGAGCCGTCGACCCAAGAGCCAGCTGTGGCCCTTGACTCGATGGCCCCAGACTCGCGGGCCCTGGGGCCCAAGGCCCAGGAGCCGCCCAGGCGCGCTGGACATCCACCCGAAGACGTCAGCGAAACATCGCCGAACACTTGGCGAAGGTTCAGTGAGTGATTGAGGGCCACCACGAGGGTGCGAAGTTAGTCGCGCTTTGCGGTCTGGGCGATGTCAGAGCGAGGCTCGAGTCCCTCATGCTGATCTGGGCGGGGGGGGAGGAAGCGGCGCGAACGCGCGACGATATCGCGCTTTGCGCTTCGCAGAGCGCGCAGCGCGAAGATAGTCACACTACCTGATTGTTTGTTTGGTTTGGGAGCTCAGAGTAAAATCTAGATCCGGAAGGCCGGCCGGGCGGCCAGGACCATGCTTCGGAGCTGCGCTCGGGTCCTCGAGGGGCGAGATTCGTGGCAGGTGCGCGGCCACCGAGTGCAAAATTCGGAGGTGTGATTGGGCCACATGGGGCGCCCCCGGAGCCTTTCAGTGGCCCTTGGGAGGATTTCGGGAGTTCTCCAGGCGCCTCTCGGCAGGTGCTTCTCGGGAGTTCCCCAAGAGCCTCTCCAGGAGCTCCTCGGAGAGTCCCACGAGCTTCTCGGCGAGCCCTCTCAACGGCCTGCAGGAGCTCTTCGGGAGTTTCTCAGGGGCCTCTTTGTTCGAGAGCTCCTTCAGGAACCTCTCTGGGGGTCCCGGGAGCTGTTCAGGAGCCTCGCGTGGGTTTCTCATGGGCTTTGCGGGACCCGTCGAGGCCCGTTTCACAACCTATTCAATCGCCTGCCAGGACCCTCATTGGACTCTTTTTGGATCCTGTTTTCGGGAGCTTCGTATGAGCTTCTCAGGAACCTCCCAGGACCCTTTAATGTGCCCCTCGGGATCACCACCCACCAAACCATCCCAACCCAGCCCGAAGGCCCCAGCTTGCCCTCCATTTCCAGTGGAGGGGGGCCGTCGGGGAACAGTAAAGATAACACAGGGTCTCGTCGTTGTCGTCGTCTTCATCGTCGTCGCGCTCGTCGTCCATGGCACCGGCGGTTAGTCCCCTGGAGAGATCGATGTGCCAGCGGAGGTCTAGTAAACATCGAAATCCGAAGCTTCACCCTGTCTGTTGGGGCTCCAGTGTGGGCGCCTTGGGGGCCGTCGGGGCCCTCGTGGGGACATCTTGCCAGAGCCCCGAATCATCCTGGGTGCGGTCAGGGATAGCTACAGATTTGCGCCCCGGGGGCCCAAACCTGAATTACCCCGGACCCCAGTTATCCGGCATAACTCTGGCGCCCAACCCTCCAGGGGCAGTCAGGGCTAGCTACAGATTCGCTCCTCGGGGGCCCAAACAGGAGTTACCCTGGACCTTACTTATCCCAGATAACTTGGGCGTCCAATCTTCGAGAACACCGATCAAAGGGGGAGCGGCATTCAGTTGTCGACCCCTGGTTGGGCCCGACGAATCGCCCCCTGTGGCCCTTCTGGAACGCCCGTGAGCCGGCATTGGGGCTGTACTCTCGCCCGTAAGGTTCCCTCTTAGGGGTTCCTGTAGGCGATATTGGAGCCATCCCAGCACGTTCCTGGTCGGTCGCCGGTGCGGTGTTGACAGAGTGGGCGTGTGATTTCTCCTGGTCGGTCTCCTGTCGAGCGCTGGATGGGGGTGCTTCTTCATAAGGAGGAGTGGCAAGCCTCTCCCCTGAAGGGGCAGAAGAGGACTGGAAGAGTGAGAGGCTGCAAGTAGCCCAGGTACACGTCGTTCATTCCCAATCGTGCTCATTTCTAATTGTGCTCGTTTCTAATTGTTCCTGGCCCCCTAGTGGCCAGGAAGAGGCCCAGGATAGAACAATTAGAAATGAATCCTGGCCCCCCCAACAACCAAAGAACCTTCGAAGAATTACAACTGAACAGTGTGCAGGCTTACAGGTGTGGAGGGCTGCCCTCCTGCACTCCGGAGGCTCGGGAAGCGTGCGTGCCTACGTACCCTGGCCGGGCTTTTGGGCCCATGGTTCGGCGCCTGCGCCCCCCCGCGGCCCCCTGGGGCCCTCGGGGGGGGGGGCGTGTGCGCACCGATCGTGGGCCCAGGATGGGCCAGTGGCCCGTCCAGGGGTCGGTGCTGGTGCGTATGACCGGACCCCCCCTCGCGTTTCGCGAGGGAATTGCGACTGAAGGCCTTCCGTCATTCTCGGCCCGGCCCCCCCCCTCGCGTCGCGAGAGAATTGCGACCGAAGACTTTTCGTCATTCTCGACGCTGGGTAGAAGAATACCTTGGGGCCGTCAACTCTGGGCTGCCGCGCTGTACATCCGCGACGTCGGAGGTCCAGGTATACCCGGGCCTCCGACGTCGTGATCTGCTTTCTCTATTCTCACCGTGACCCAGGACTGGGACGGTCACGGGGTCCTCACGGGGTCCTCACGGGGCTCCCAGAGGCCGAGAATGAGGAGTGACGAGACATTGTCCGTCGCGTTTTTTTTTTCGATGGGAGGAGGTCTGGGCAGTTGACGTCCTTCCAGGCAGCAAGAGCCCTTGCTGTGATCTCCTGCACGGTCCGCCCACGGCGCGATGAGCCGCTGGGTGCTCGCGGCAGTGGCCTTCCTGCTCGCCTGCCGCGGCTGCGCTGCCGAGGACGACGAGTACGAGACCACCACCGTGGCCTATGGGCGCCGCCTGGCAAGTACCACTGAGGAGGTCGGCTCGGGCTCCCAGGACCCCGACGATGCCAGCAGCAGCACGGCGGCACCGCCGGCGACAACGATCGCTGCGACCACCACCGAGGCGTCGGGGGTTGCCAGGGGAATTCCAGGCCCAAGGTGTTCCCAGCGTTTCGCCCCATGCAGGATCCCCTGGGGCCCCCTTGTACCTTGTGAGGGGGGCCACGTGGGCCTCCCTGGAAATGCCAGGGCCACCTTGGGCCAGGTCTAAAGTATCATCCAAAGCGATCCCCGGACCCTTCCTGAGGTCCACCCTCGTGCTGGTTCTCATCGCGGATCGATGTTTGACTGCTACAGGCCCCGAAGCGGATGTTCAGAGGCCGAAAGCCAAGACTCCTGATGTCGCGATTTTGTTCGTAACGTGGATGCCCAGAGGTCTGCACCCCTTCACCGGGGCCAGCCTTTCTTCCCGAGCCGTGTTTCCCGAGCGAGAGAGTGACCCCCGAGGCCGGAGATGCTCAGAAAGCCGTCCCTCGTGACCTTCTGACGACCTGGGAACGGGGATTCTCTGACAAAGTTTAGGCACTTCTGGCAGCAGCCACCCGAAGGCGGGAGACGCCAACGCCACCACCACGGGCGGGACCACCACCGAGGCGGCGGTGCCCAATGCGGTCGTCGCCGGCGCCGTGGCTCGCGCCGGCGGCCTCGTCCCTGTGCTCATGGCCCTCCTCGTGCTCGTGAGCGCCGGCGGCTGGGCCGAGGCCCCTGGCGGCATTCGCCGACGACCTTCGGCGGCCCTGGCAGCGTTCGGCGGCCATTGGCGGCCTTCGTCAGCCTTCGGCGGCCTTCGGCGGCCTTCGGCGGCCCTCGGCGCTTCGGCGGCCTTCGGGGGCCTTCGGGGGCCCTTGTCGGCCTTCGGCGGTGTCCCTCGGCGGCCCAGGCAGCGCTCCCGTGCGACGGTGGACGAGCCCACCACCGCGGCTGATGAGCGGCGACGGCATGATCATCGCCGTGGCTGACGGCGACCTACGCCGGGGATTGAGTCCACCTCCACCGACCTAGAAACATGCTCGAGGACCTGGGGCAGCGCTCGACACGGAAACCTTCCCGCCCCCCGGAGGCACGTCCCCAGATATGCTACGGTCCCGCTTATGATTAAGAAACCTCCCCCCGAAAAGCTGGCCCAGCGTTTCTTAACCAACTTGCCAGAAAGCTGGCTCAGCTTCTTAAGGGGATTGATAGGCTTGGATCCTAGGAACGAATAACGTACGTTCTTGGCTCCAAGAGTTGGCCCAGCGTTTCCTTCAGAAGCTTCTGAAAAGCCGGCCCAGCCTTCTGAATTGATAATTCTCAGACTCGCATGTCTTACCTGTGTGGACGCATCTCCGCGTGGAGGCGGTGGATCCCAGCTTCGCGGCGCTGCGCACGGCTGCCCTGAGGGGGCCCCGCGTGCGCCACCGCCGCTCGCCTCCTGGGCGGGCTCTGCCTGTAACCAGGCTGCGGAGCCCGCCAGGATGAGGGCCGCGCCTCCCCTGCCTCGCCTTGCATTGAGTCGTGCGTGTCCCTCTAGCGGAGGAAGATTCAACAAAAAAAGTACGGGGACGATTCTTGCACCATTTTTGCATACTTTTTGATTTTTTGGGGGTATGGTGTTTCATTTGTCGTCCAAGATCCGCCCGTAGGGGGACAGGCCCGACCTAATCCTTGCTCGCTCGTGCCCCTCCGCAGTCACAGTGCGGGCAGCGCCACGGGTGCTTGCCTGCCTGCGTGCTCGCAGACGGCGGGCAGAAAAGGCCAGGGCGAGGTGGTCGGCCTTCTCGGAGGCACCCCTGCCTGATGTGGGGCGTTCCAGGGAGGGCCTCGCCTTCGAGGGGTCGATAAGTTTGACTTTTCTTCTTGGGCGAAAGGCTGGCAGAAGCAAAACGGGGGCGGCGCCACCAGCGGAATCCGACAGAAGGGCTGGCGGCGGAAACCCGCGGAAATAAAGGATGACCTCCCACCAAGAGATACATGCTTGGGGGATTTGGTTTCCCGGGCCAGCCAAGCCCTCCGACCTTGATTGACAGTAAGCCTTTCAGAAGGGAGTGGATCCTTTCTAAAAAGCGCCCTGCCTTCTCAGAAGGCGGCCCTCCCCGCTGCGGGTGTTCATGCACCCGGCGGCCCCCGCAGCCGAGATCGGAGCGGCTGCCTTCAATCTATCGATCCATCGTACGATGTGAGCAACCAGCTGGCGTTCGGCAGGCTCGCGTCGCCTGGACTCGGCGACGTCGCCGGCGCGGGCGTTCAAGCTCGAACACCATATCGGTGCCCGTCTCGGGCCATGGGGACCACAGGAAACAGCCCACGGCGTGGGATCCACACGAAAACTTCGGTCGAAAGCCTGTTTGTGGCCGCCAGGAGCGCAGATCGTGTGAGGTAGAACGGCCCAACCAGTGTCAGAGACCATGGCCCATGTCGTCAGGGTAGGAATCTGCCGTTCCGATTGATCGATCGACTGTGTCCACCCGGTGTCGTCAGCGGGCCAAGGCCAACCTCGTCTACGTCGGTGGGCTGCCTGAGGGCATCGACGAGGCCATGTTCCGCGCGCTCTTCGGGCGCTACGGGGGCATCAAGTCCGTCAAGCTGGTCCCCGCGAAGAGATTGGGCCGCCCCCTCAGCGATGGACCCGCGGTGGGTTGGCCGCCCACTCCGCACGCAGGCCATTCTCTTTTCACGATCCCATGGCCAAGCAAGAAGCAGACGAGCGCTGCTCACAGTAAAAGAAAGTGCCCACGACACCAACAAGGGCGTTGTTGTTTTCATCCTCCCTCGGCCCCCTCACCTCTCTGCTCTCCTTCCCACCTCTCCTTCCCACCCCTCCTCCCCTGTGTCCTTTCCGCCCCCATCCACCCTTCCCCCCTTGTCCCTTTTCCCCTACCCTTTGATAGCCTTGGGGTCCGTCTTGTGCAGGTCTTGGAGGCCTCTTGGGCGATCTTGGGAGCCCGAAAAGTCACACACACTCACACACACACACACACACACACACATTACATACATATATATATATATATATATATATATATATATATATATATACATACCCAGGTTTCGGGGGCCAGGCCGCCAGGAGTGTGCCTGCGCCCTCCATGGGGGGTCCGGGGCCCACTTTCTTTGTGTTTTTACCAGGTTTCGGCTTTCCAGGGCCTCCGAGCTCGCCAGGAGTGTGCCTGCGCTCTCCATGGGGGCTTCGGGGCTCACTTTCCTTGTGTTTTTACATGGTTTCCGCGTCCTGGGCCTCGGAGGCCGCCGCCTCCGACCCCCCGTGGGAGGACGGGGCGGCCGGGGAAGTCCAAAATAGTCCAGGAGGGCCTCCAGAGGCTCCCAAGACGGCCCACGCGGGCCCCGAGTCGCCGAAAGACCGCTCCAGGACGCCCAAGATAGGCCCAAGACGGCCCGAGAGGCCCCCCAAGGACGGCCCGAGAGGCCCCCCAAGGCACTCCACGACGCTTCAAGACGCCTCTCCAGAGCGCTTCAAGAGGCAGAAATCGTCAATTTTACTTAGGTTTTCGAACGATTTTGGCCTTCCAGCCTTTTCCGTCGGCGTCCGACGTCCAAGACGGCTCAATAGGCCCCCAAGAGCGCCCCAAGACAGCCCAAGAGGGCCCCAAGACGGCCCCAGAGTCGCCCAAGACAGCCCAACAGAGCCCCAAGACGGCCCCAAGATGCGCCCAAGAGGGGGACCACGACTCCAAAATTCGACCCTCCCGCTTGAAGAGTGCCCCAGGAGGCCCCAAGGAGCCCCCAAGAGGCCCCAGGAGGCCCCCAAGAGGCACCCAGGAGGCCCAAACGAGGCCTAAAGAGGCCACAAAGCAGCCCCGAGGAGGCCCCACAACGGTCCCAAAACGGCTTCCGAGAAGCTGCGAAACTGCCTTCACGACGTCCCCGACAGGCCAACCACGAGATCCAAACCAACACCCATGAGGCCTCTGACCCACCACCCAGGGCACGGTGGCGGGAGCAGTGACAGCACTTGTGCACAGCATGTTCTGGCGGGAGCCTTCTGGAACACGCTGCAGGAGGAGGAGGAGGAGGAAGATCAGGAGGAGAGAGAGATGGAGTGGGAGGAGGAGGAGGAGGAGGAGGAGGAGAGGAGGAGGAGGAGGAGGAGGAGGAGGAGGAGGAGAGGAGGAGGAGGAGGAGGAGGAGGGGGACGAGGAGGAGGAAGAGGCCTCCAAGACAGCTCCAAGATAGCCGAAGAGGCTTCCAAGAGGGCCCTGGGCGGCCCACGAGGGCCCCAAGGCGGTGCCTGAGGCGCCCAAGACGGCCCGAGAGGGCCCCAAGACGGCCCCAAGAGAGGCCCATGAAGGGAAACACGAACTGAGAATCCGAGCTTCCTACCCTGAGAGGTTCTCGGGAAGTCCCAAGAGGCCCCCAATCGGATCCAAGAGGCCCCCAAGAAGCTCCCAAGAGGGCCGACGAGGTTGCAAGAGATCTCCCAAGGTGGCCCCAAGAGGCACAACTTATTGTTTTACGATTGGGCTTTGACGGGTTTAATTTTTTTCGGCCTTTTGGCATCCCGATGCTCCAAGTCGGCCCAAGAGGCTTCCACTACCGATCCAATATAGAGGAAGGGGCCTCCAAGAGGGCCCCAAGACGGCCCGCGAGGGCCCCAAGACTGTGCTTGAGGCGCCCAAGACGGCCCGAGAGGGCCCCAAGAGCCCCAAGAGAGGCCCAAGAAGGGGAACGCGACCCAGCAGCAGAGCGTTCCCCCCAAAAGGCCCACAGGAGGCCGCAAGAGGCCCCCAAGTGGTCCGACGAGGACCCAAAAGCTTCCCGAGGGCCTCAAAAGGCCCCTAGGAGACGTCCAAGAGGTTTTAAATTAGCCCAAGAGTGCCCTCGATGCGTCAAAACTGCTTCCAGGAGGCCCCCGGGAGGCTTCCGGATTGCCTCAATCTGGCCGCAGGTGGCCTCAAATCGGGCCTCCACGCAGCCAAGACGGCCAATGACGGCTTCAGATTGCAGAGCCGATGCCCCCAAGGGACCCTCAGACGCCCCCCCAAGAGGCACCCAAGAGGTGCCTCCAACAGCCAGTTGACGAAGCATGCGGAACACCCCAGAAGCTCCTCAGATGCCGTCGCGCGCCTGTGCTTGATAGCGTTGTCCAAGATCGTCCAGCGCCCCCCCAGCCTGGGCTAGAACCTGAGCGCGCGCGAAGCGCGCGCGATGGTTCTAGTGTGTGTGTGTGTATATATATATATAATTTAGCGGCAACAGTGTAGTTGTCTAGTTCGAGTGGCTTGGGCTTGCTGCGATGGCCTCGAATGTACCCAAGAGGAGCCATGGATGCCTCCAAGATGGGAGGAGCCTCTGAGGCCATAGTGCTTGTTTGTGTTCGGAGATCGCTGTTACACTGCAAATATCTATATGTCAGCCAGCGTGGACCCCGAACAGTGTGTTTCTAGCAACATAGGTTGTTCAATCGATGTGGTGCAATGTACGTGGTACAACCTATGTTGTGCAATCTCTGTCGGCCCATATATGTTGTGCACTAGTTATGGTGCCACCTATAGTATGTCTATATATGTAAACAAGACTGCATTGGCGATTAGTGCCATGCACCTTGATCCTTGAAGCTTGGCATGCAGGCGGAATAGCAGGAAAGTCGAGCCGACAAATCAGCGATAATTCCTTGTTGCCTTTTCCGGCATCGCCGTACTTATGATGTGATTCGTAATATTTCCTCCATGCTTCTTTTTCCGCATTCTCGCCATACTCTGCGTATGTTCCCTGTCCTCCGCAGCTCTTTTTGCGGAGGTTCCTCCTTGGAAAGTCTCCGAGGGCCTCACACAAATGTTTCAGGCTTTCTTAAGGCCTTTGGAGAGCTTCTGGGCGTCTTTTGTGGGCCTCTGGGGGCTTCCTCGGGCCACCCTGCCTCCAGCCGCGGTCTCTCTGAACGAACTGGTCACGATTTGGAATGTTTCGGAGGGCGTCTTGGGGCCATCTTGGGCCGAAATGGGGTTCTCTTAAGCCATCTTGGAACCCTGTTGTGCCGTCTTGGGGCTCTCTTGGACTGCCTGGAAGCCCTTTCGGATGGTTGTGGGGCGATTTTCCAGCCTCCCAGGCGGCTTCGGACGCCCAGAAGACCGCCGTCTTGTCTTGGAGCGTCGGGAAGTCGAAAAAAGGAGAACCTCCAAATTCACCCCAAACCGACAAAATTCATTTATTTGCCTCTTGGGCCTTTCTTGGGAGTGCTCTTGGAGAAAATCTGGGACGTTTTGGAGCGATCTTTGGGGGTATGACAGCTTCTTTGGGATTGTCGTGGACCGTCTTGGGGCTCTCTGGGGTCGTTCGGGGGCGCGCTGGAACGCCCGGAGCCCTCTGGGGCCATCTTCGGGCTCGGGGTTCTTCCGTGTCGTCTGGAGGGTTGCCCGAGAGGCCCGGGTTGGGCCAAATTCGTTCAGGGAGGTGGGGGGGGGGGCGATTTTGTCCGGGGCCCCCGGCCTTAAACAATCCGGGACCCCCGGCATTAAACAAACATATGAATAGGAATATGTTGTGCAACATGTGTTGTGCAACATATGTTGTGTCATCTCTGTTGTGTCGTATCTATTGTGCAGTATGTGTGGCGCAATCTACGAGGTGCTGTAGATGTGGTAGTATATGTTGTGCCCTGTATGTGGAGCAGCTTCGTTGCAATCGATGTGGTGCAGTCCTCGTTGCGGCGACGAGGCAGCGACGGGGCGGCGACGGCGGCAACAAGGCGGCGGACCCGACACACGAGCTTAGACGACAGGTGGCGACGAGGCGGCGACGGGGCGGCGACGAGGTGGCGACGGGGCGGCGACAGCGACGACATAGCCGCCAGACCGACGCGCAGGCTCAGAGGACGAGGCGGCGACGAGGCGGCGACGGGGCGGTGACGTCGACGACATAGCCGCTGGACCGCCACACGGGCCCAGTTCCTTAGACCTGAAGTTAAAAACTCGGAGCGCAAGCATATGTGCGCAAACACATAATATATATATATATATATATATATATATATATATGATACTGATGTAACGCAAACCGGTATACTTATACAGATATCTGTATACATATACATATATGTGATCAGGTACAGATTAGCTGTCTTCGTTGTGTAAGCATATGTGCGCAAACACGCACACACACGTTCACAGACATGCACACACTTGCGCAGGTATACGTCTCACAGCTGCCTCATTGTGTGTCCAGCGGTCCAGAGGCCAGTCAAATGTTCTTGCGCATGCGTTATACAATTTGTTCAGTATCGGTGATTGTGGACGCCATTTCGCATACGACAACGTTGCAGCCGAACAATACATGTACCCAGAATTCATTTATCGTCCCGTACAGCTACATACTATATCGTTCAAGTCAGTGTCTTGCTCGTTTTAGTAGCATATGGATGGTATCGGCCCTAGACGTCGATGCGCCTGTCGGAATAAGGCGATACACATACATTGCTACTTGGTTTAACGTTGGTACGACATGTACCTCCCACCGTTAATATTTACAGGACATGAACAAGACAATTGCACAGGACAACCGCGGGACAATCACTAGACAACCGCGGCACAGTTATTGCACGGGGCAAGCGTACGGGACAACCGCGCAAGACCCTACAAGACAATCGCAGCGCAACCATGGGACAATCGCGAAGCGTAACCGATCTCCTGGTGGAGGGCACACTGTATCGTTTCATTTCGGTTCTAAGTCTTCTTGGCCCGAACGATTCCGCCGCAAATGATCACAGGTTGGCCGAGAGGGCACTAGCTGTGGCGCGCAAGGGACGCATCTTCCAAGGGCGGACTAGCCTGAGGCTGCAGCCCTGGGCGCCGCCGCGGCTCGCGCCGTGCGCCCCAGCGGGAGCGCGGAGCCGTTCCCGTTGCTCTTGTCAGACACGGCGGCAGCGCTCGGGTGCGCGGAGCGTTGCTTGAAGTTCTAGGAAGACGGCGCCGGCCCAGCGTGCCTGCGGGGGGGACGGGCACCACCACGAGTGCAACCGCGGAAGGGGGGTACTATAGGACTTGCGGCGACTGCGACTGCTGCCATCGGGATCCGTCGGGCACGTCAGCAGTGCCGAAGGCGAGGTCCTGCACTCTGAAAGCCGAGGGCGCTTGGTGCTGAAACTGGCCCCGCATCCTCATGTCTCGGACTGCCGCGGTGCACCGCTCGTCGGTGCGCGCCCCACTGCGCCGCCAACGGCGGCTGCGCATAGCTCACCCGCCTGGGGGAGGGCCCCTGCTCGGAGGGCGGCGCACCCGCGAAGTGGTCGTGCGCGCGCGCCGTCCCTGGGCAGGCGCGAGGCGCGAGGTGCAGCTCCTGCTCCGGCCGGCGCTGGCGGCGGAAGCGCGCCCCGGACATGGGACGAGGCCACGGGCCCGCCTCGCTGCGGCGTTGTGCAGAGCGCGCGCCCCGTAGCCTAGAACGGACGTGGACCCCAGAGAGGGAGCTTCGGGGCGTATTTGGGGACTGCCCAGAGGCAGGCTTGCGGCGCGCACCGTTGCTGGAACCGTGGCCGCTACGACATCTCGTTGGGGTTATGCCGTCCTGGGGTCACGTTTGGCCTTTCGAGGTTGCGAAGGCCCCAGAATGGCTCCACGGTTGATAGGAGTTCGGGTTGTTGATCAGATCAGTCGTCCATTTTCATCTCCCCCTTCCTCGCGCCCCTCTCCTCATCCTTCCGCCCCCCCGTCTCTTTTCTGCGTCAGGGTGTTTTTTCCCAACCATCCTGTGGTGTTGGGTCCTCGTTTTGAAGAGACAGCGCCCCGCGTCTCCTCCCTCCTCCCGCTGCCTCCTCCCCCTCCTCCTCCGCACACCCATTTCGGCACACCCCTCACACGCTTCGTGGCCCCATAGGGACACCTCACACGTTTCGTGGCCCCATAGGGAGCTCCACCGAAGGTCCCAGTGGGTGTGCCCGCATGCGTCCCGCACACCCATTTCGGCACACCCCTCACACGTTTCGTGGCCCCATAGGGAGCTCCACCGAAGGCCCCAGTGTGTGTGCCCGCATGCGTCCCGCACACCATTTCGGCACACCCCTCACACGTTTCGTGGCCCCATAGGGAGCTCCACCGAAGGCCCCAGTGAGTGTGCCCGCATGCGTCCCGCACACCCATTTCGGCACACCCCTCACACCCCTCACACAGTTGTCGTGCGCATTTCGGCACATACGGAGCTCCACCGAAGGCCCCAGTGAGTGTGCCCGCATGCGTCCCGCACACCCATGTCGGCACACCCTTCACATCTTTCGTGGCCCCATAGGGAGCTCCACCGAAGGTCCCAGTGGGTGTGCCCGCATGCGTCCCGCACACACATTTCGGCACACCCCTCACACGTTTCGTGGCCCCATAGAGGCTCCACCGAAGGCGTTCTCGCGCGCGTCGCGAGGGCTCCGCCTTGCGATGCGCCCGCAGCCTTGGACTTTGGAGTGCGCGGGCAAAGGAAAATGAAAAAGGAGGGGAGGAAGCGGGCGAGTTCCTCGTGTGAGGCGTGCCGACACGGGCGTCGCGGCGCGCGGGCGCTGCCGTCGGGGTCCCCAGGGAAGCCCCCTGCAGAGGCTACGCCACACAATTCGGCACACCTTCATACGGTTCGTGGCCCCATAAGGAGCGCCACCGAAGAAGATATTCACAATTGCGGTATTCACAACTGCATATGGTTGGGTCCTTCGCCAGGGTAATTTTACCCGGGAGGAGAGGGCGATTACGGTCTTGCGGCAGGACAGTTTGTGGAGTCCCCGGTCTTACTCCAGAGATTTGGCATCGCATCATTGTCATGGGGTCATCCTCGCCGACAGAAGGAAAAAACGGCTCCTCGGCTCCTCGGGTGGGGCCGCGGGCTCGCAGAAATGCCCGATGCTTGTCGGCATTCCCCGTGGTAAGAGCGGCTGCGGCGGGCCGCAGGCCTTCCCGCTGCGAGTATTGCCCTGGCCCTTCGCTTCAATCACCCTTCTTCTTCCTCTCTGTCCTCGCCTGTGGCTGGCCGAGACGAGCTCCAGAAAGGCAGTTTCTATTGTTGCAAAGGTCGAGGTGTACCATCAGTAACTCGCTGCCCAGCTCTCTGGTTTGTCTGAGCACGGGCTCAAGTCGGACGCAAAATCTGTGGCCCTAGCCCGCGATGGCGATGTGGTTCACTCTGTTGACCGCGCCTGCATCTAAAGCATGTATGGGCAGTACTACCGATTCGTTGTTCAATCGACCTTTCTAAGGATGCCGATGCTGGACACATAATGGCGAACCTCATAGCAGCATAGTAGTATTTCTGGCGCTGGTGTTGCGCCGAATGTGCTGTCGTGGTGGGCCGCGCAGAAGGGCCGCGTTCATCGGCGTGGTGCGCCTGATTTCAGGAGTGGCCCTGGACGTGCTACCTTTGAAGACCCAGCACGGCAAAATAACCCACGTCTCGCTAGAAAGAGCAGGGACGACTAGGCGAGGTAGCAATCGCCCTAGGGTACGAGTTGCCAGGGAAGCCGTAGCAGCCAAGCCAGGACACCCGAGGAAGAGGCAATACGCCCAGGGGAGGACGAAAACAATAAGAGATACTGACACAACACGAACAAGAGCGATGAGGGCATGGGGGATCCAGTCCAGGGTGTCCGAAAAAGAGCGGATGTTTGGGGGCAGATCTTCTCGCGCCCTGTGTCGGCGTGGACAGGATGGCTGGTGCCAGCTCCGGGCTACGTGTCGGCTCGCGCCTTGTTGTTTTTCGTTGATCCATCCACGTCTTGTTCTCAGAGGAGGACGAGGAGGAGGAGGAGGAGGAGGAGGAGGAGGCGGAACAGCGCTAAGGCTACGTGCGGTATGGCAGCAAGAAGGAGGCGAAGTCGGCCATCGATGCGCTCAACAACTTCGAGGCCAACGGCGTGAAACTCGTCGTGAGGCCGCGGGGGACCTGGCAGGGCGCGCCTAGCACTCTTCCCCAGGCGCTCGACAGGCATACAGCTGCGAGTGCGCCCTCGGGAACGGGCGTGGCTTGCAGGATGCCCCTGGCTGGGTCTCGGAGGGCATGGGACCCTGGCTCCCCAGAATTTGCCATCTCGACTGGAGCTCAGGTTCAAAGGTCCTGGGGCCACTGCCTAGCACTACTGGAGTGGGACGGGGTGTGCCTTCGGACCCCGCTGCGCGACGCCAGGCCTCTGGCTCGCGGCACGCGACCCTGGTGCCCTCGACCCCACCCCCAGGACTGCTCGCCTGCCCCAGGCCGGTGTGGGATTGCAGGCCGAGATTGGTTGGAAGCGCCCGCCGCATCTCACTTCCCGGCGCGGAGGAGCCTGGATGTCCGGAGCCTTCGCAGCTGAACCCGGGCGTTTTGGAACCACTCCCACCAGCCTGGATTTCCGACGTCACGGTTCGCTCGAGTCGCCCGCCCCTGGAGCATTTGCGCTCCCGCATTCCCAATGCCACATGCGAGAAACACAAGCAATCGGAGGAGAAGGAGGAGGAGGAGGAGGAGGAGGAGGAGGAGGAGGGCAGCGAGTGGGCAGCCCACACCAGTGAGCATACCTCCGTGCAAGCGGGGGCGGACACCGATCTTCCTTTTTCACTCTCACTGCCTCCCCAGCGGGAGCAGCCTTCTTTCACTCTTACATTTTGCCGATGGGGCCCCCCGGAGATGGCCAGCCCAGCAGTGCTCGCCAACGGCGGGAAGGTTCTCGCTCGCCGCTTCGTTCGCTCTCTATTTCTGATGCTGACGCTCACCAAGTCCCACATCATGGACGACACCAAGTCCCACATGTGGACGACACCAAGTAAGCATCGTCGTGGAGATACCGGAGGGCAAGGGCCACGCCGCCTATGACGAAAACGACTACGACGCCCGAAATGGTTACGACAACGGCTACGACGTTTACGCCGCGTACAACTTCCTGGCCCTGCCGCCCACCATGCCGTCAGAGCTTCGAGAGCCACCAAGCTTCGTAAGCATGTGGACGACACCAAGTCCCACATCATGGAGTCAGTGGCCGCAGTGCAGCGCGCCATGTCCCAGCTCACAGAGTCGGTCGATCGCCACTACACCTCCGTCGACCAGACCATCCAGCAGCGCTTCACGGAAGTTGAGAGACGCCTGGACAACACAGACCAGACCGTCGCCGCGCTGCGTGCCGAGCTCGACGCGCTCAAGGCCAAGGTCAACGTCGTCTCCACTGAGACACCTGCGGCTGCTGCCGAAGGCATCATCAACAGGGACCTTGACAGAGAGATTGACCCCACTATTAGTCATTACCGTGCGCTGCCCCCACATGGTGCCGCGGGATCGAGTTCTGCAAGCCATCAGTCCATGGCTTTCCGACTCCAGCTGGGAAGAGGATTCCTGGCAGTTGCGAGGCGACCCCGCCTCGAAGCGCTTCACCATCAAGTGCCGCGGCGCCACGGGCTGGGCTGCTCGCCGCGTATGCCAAGCCATGGGCGCCCTCAAGTTGGCCAACGGCGACTACAGGCGCTTCAACTTCCAGGCCAGCGGCAACAACCTCCCGACCGACCTGTTCATGTCGTTCGATCAGAACCCCCGCCAGATCAAGCTTGAGATTGCCACCAAGACCGTGCGCAAGACAATGCTGGAGTTGTACCCGAATGTGCGCTTCTTCGTGGATCGCCACACCGGCGTGGTCTCCTCGCAGTGGAAGCCGTTGGTCAAGATCTCACCCAAGACGGACAACTCCATGCCGACCCTATAGTACGAGAGCGCCAACGTCCGCGCGCTCAACATCGACAGAAGTAGAATCGAGCCCGCCTTGCGGGATGCCTTTGCCAGCGCTGCAGAGAGCGCAACATGGAGTCTTTAGCCACCTGTTCCGCGTCCTCGGAGGGACGCCGCTCGAGGCCAGGTGTTTGACGCTTTGGACCTGGAACGCTCGCGCTCTCTTTCATCACGATCCTCACGCCCGCTCGCCCAAGCTCTCCTACCCCACGCCTCTTCTCAGACCCAATTCCATCATTGCGTTACGAGAGACCCATGGTAGCATTCGCGACCTCTGCGACTTCCTCTATGTCTCTCGTCGCTTCTTCAGTGGGCATGCCTCTTTTACTGACTCGCGTGGGCGAGGTGGTGTGGCGACGATCTCCCCCGCCTTGACTGTAGAGAACGGGCCCCATGAGCTGGCCCAGTGCGAGTCCGAGATTTTGATCCCAGGGAGAGTCTATCCAATCGGGCCGATCTCTACTGTACCTGGCTCCCCCCACTTCATCATCTCTCACTTCAACGTTCGCAATCATGGGTTGAACATCGATATGACCAGGAGAGTTATCGATCGGATCAAGCAAAAGCTCGCCCTCGCCCGTCAGGTCCCAGAACGGCGCGCCCTCGTGATTGTTTGTGATTTTAATCTCTGTGCGGAGCCGCCGCAGCAGAGTGTGCCGCCACCCCATATTGAGCCGCACGCTGCCCTTCACGTGTGGCGGCGACAGAGAGCATCTGCCTGGCAGGAGGTGTTTGCAGCCTTGGTGGAAGTTGATTGCTCGGAACCTACTCACTATAACGGCGCCCAGCAACACACACCGAAGATATACAGAATAGCTATGTACCAGCCTTCCAGTACATTATCTAACATGTCTCCAGGTCGACGTTAACGCATGCGAAGACCCTGAAACACTCGAACAGAACGGAATATCAGATCACGCCGCCCTGCTCGTTCACCTCCGTCGCCGCGAGCCCCCCGATGTGGATGCCCGCCCCATCGCCAAGCAGGTGTGTTCAGATCCCGCTGTTTAAACAGTTTGTCCAGCAGACCTGGGAGGAGAGCGACGTCTCGGCCCTCAGCCCGCCCCAGGAGTTGCTTTCCTACAAGGAGGTTTTGAAAGAAGGTGCCCGACATGCTCGCAATGCCCTCGTGCGAGATGCCCCATCGAGACCCTGCCGCGGAACTATTACTCCTGAGATCCATTGGCAGATGTGTTTGGAGGAATGATATCACCCTCGCCCGAAAGTTGATGATGTACCCCCTGGCCCAAGAGCTCCCCATTTTCGACCCCGAATCCTCCCGAGCCCCTGGCGAACCCTCGGAAGTTTTCAGACGTGCTGGGCACCCTGCAGTTCCAGGGCGCCACGCGTGAGCAGCGCGAGGTCACGGACCAGCTGTCTGCCACGAAGTCGGAGCCCAAGCGTTCCAAGCTACGCCAGCGCCTCAGACGCCTGGTCAGGCGCAGCAGGCTTTGGGCCCCTTTTGACCGCCGCCTGCAGTTGATTGGGGCTCGCTCAGGCAACCGCGTCTTCACTGACCAAGTCGAGATGCAAAATGCGATTGCCACGCGCTGGGGAAAGGCATTCCAGAACCAGCGGATGATGCTGCGGGGCAACGATATGTTGGATCAGTGGTGTACCCGCTTTGACCTTCGTGACCCCCCTCCCCCTCGTTATCGCGATATGGAGAAATGCATCAAACACCTCGAGGACTCGGCCCCTGGTCCCGACTCGGTTTACTACAGCGCCTACAAGCATGGCCCATGCGCTTGCGACGTGCTCTTCGAGACCCTCTCGTGGATCCTCAACGGGCGCCCCATGAATAGGACCTTCAACTCAGTTCTTATGGTTTTTACCCCCAAGAGTGAGGAGGAGGAGGGTGCTCATAATAAATGCATTCGCTCGGCTAGTGCTCTCCGCCCGTATAGGCCTCAAAAACACTGACAACAAAATCGTCGTTGCGGTCTCTTTCCTCTGGCTAGACAAGGTCATGTCCTCTTTCTCTGCCAAAATACAGCGCGGGTTCATCCGCGCCAGAAACTTCGGAAACAACATAGCCGAACTTGATACCATCTCTCGTATCCATCCTATGTCGCCGTCGGCTCTGATTGACCTTCCCGCCCTGGTCAGCTTTGACTTCGGACAGGCCTTCCCCAGCCTCAGCCACAGATGGCTCCACCGTGTGCTGGATTCCACGAATGTCCCAGAACCTCTTCGTGTTCTGGGCCACACTATCTATGCGGACGTGCTGTGTTACGGAGCGTTCATGACAGTCACCCTCTTCATGTTCTTCCAGGACTGCGGGGTCACCCAAGGCTGCCCCGCCTCCGGCGCGCTGTTTGCCCTCGCCGCAGATTGCTTCTTCACGGACATGGACGCCACGCTCGCCCGTCATGCTGCTGGCCTCTCCCGTGCATGTGCCGACGACGTGGGTGCATATCTTTGTCGTCTGGAACACCTTCATATCTTGCACCGTGCGTTCGCGACCATCGAGCGGACCTCGGCCCTGACGCGAAAGACGACGAAGTGCAAGATCGTGCCACTCGCCGACGCCTTCACCCCGATCCTCGCCCGTAGATATGTGAGGTGGCTCTCCAGGCATCTGCCCGCTTGGGCTTGCTTCGAGATAGTTCCAGTGCTGAAATACCTTGGCCTCTGGTTAGGACGGCTGGACTGCGGCTCGAGATTGGCTTCCCAGGGTGCGCCGTTCTCTGTCACGGCCCAGAATTACGAAAGCAGAGTTGCCTCGGTGTTAAGCTATGTCTCACAATTTATGCCTCTGCCTGCGGAGGTTGCCAGACAAGAGCCAGCTATGTTTGCGCGTCTTTTTCGGACCCCGAACTGTGTGATCCCCCGTGCTGGGTGGCTCGAACTCGCCCACTGGGGCGGGCCTCGGGTCATGAGTATACAGGCAACCTCCATCGCGGCTCTAATCCGAGCGAGTCGTCTTCACTTCTGCTCATGGAGAGAGATGCTCCCTGCTCTCTCAGCGGCTGCCCAAGAGCAGCTCCCCATCGTCCAGCGGGTCACTCACCATTCGCTTTCGCCCTCCTTCTGGCTCCCCCCCTCGTTCTGTGAGTTCCTCGCTGCTGCTAATGCTGCCTTCCCTCGTCCCCTCGGCTCTAATCTTGTGACGTCCAACGCTCGCTCTCATCGGTGCGTCTCACGCGCCTCCAGCCCTCCTTTGCTGGGCTCTCGTTTTGAATAGAGCACCAAGATCCCTCCGCCCCCCCTCCTGCCTCCTGCTTTCTGCCCATTGTCTCACCTTTCTTTTCTTCCTCCTCCCTTCTCTCCTTTGTCTTGCTTGCGCCCCTGGGGCCTGCGAAGAACGCAACTGCCGCCTCCTCCGTGGGCTCCTGCGAGGTTCCGCGGAGTGGAGGTCCACGGGGACCCAGTTGAGACGTGTTCAGACCTCACGGTTCCTAGGGGGGCTGCGAAATGCATAATTGTCGCCATTTCCGTGGGTTCGGGACCGAAGTGGAGGTCTACGGGGACCCAGTTGAGATCTTGCGGTTCCCCAGGGGGCTGCGAAGTGTGCACCCGTCGTTTTTTCGTGGGATCCTGGGAGGTCCCGCGCAGAGGAGGAGGTCCACGGGGACCCAGTTGAGACCTCGCGGTTCCTTGGGGGGGCTGCGAAGCGTGCAGCCGTCGCCTTTTTCGTGGGCTCCTGGCAGGTCCCACGGAGTGGAGGTCCGCGGGAACCAGTCGAGACCTCGCGGTTCCCTGGGGGGTTGCGAAGTGTGCAACCGTCGCCTTTTCCGTGGTCTCCTGGGAGGTCTCGCGGAGTGGAGGGCCAGTCCACGGGGACCCAATCGAGACCTCCCATAGCGCGCGGCGCCCATTGTTTCCACCTTGGGGTGCTTCCGGTTCCTCGCGCGGCCCTGCTCGTTTGCCACGCTCGGGTGCCTGGTGCTTTTCGTTGCCCTCGGAGCCGCGCCCTCTTGTATCAACGTTTCGGGCATGTGTCCGATTGCACTCTTAACCGCTCTCTGTGCGTGGCAGGTGTTTCAGCAAGGGCTTACGCTTCGCGAATCCCCGCCAGCCCATTCAGACGCCCTGCCCACGAGAGCTGAAAGCAGAGACGCATATAGGGATACGGCGCGGTCAAAGCGAGGAGGGGGAGGAACGTGTTGAGCCATGTTGGAGGCTATCTTGGAGCATCAGAGGCCTTCTTGGAACTATGGGGTTTTTGGGGAGTGTCTTGGGGTCCTCTTGGGGCTCTTTTGGGGCATCTTGGGGTCCTCCTGGGGCTTTTTGGGGGGTCGTGGGGTCCTCTTGGGGCTCTTTGGGGGCGTCTTGGGGCCCTCTTGGGGCCCCTCCTGGGGCCCTCCTGGGGCTCTCTTGGGGCCCTCCTGGGAGCTTCGGGGGGCCTCCTGAGGCCATCTTGGAGGCCATCGAGGGGAGGGTCCTTTATTTAGGCCCCCCCAAGAGCACTCGAAATCGCCTCTGGGGGCCCTCTTTGGGCACTCTCGGGGCGATCTTGGGCGCTCTTGGGGCCGTCTTGGGGGCCTCTTGGGCCACTCTCGGGGCTCTCTTGGACGCGGCCCCCCCCCGTCCGGGTCCAGGGGAGGGAGGAGGAAGAGGGGGAAACCCTTCCCCCCAAAAAGAGGAGGGGCTCTGAGAAGAGGGAAGAAAGACATCGTTAGACCGCCTGCGCCCACAGGGCTGGCGGGAGTTCGTTTTTACTGAGCGGTCCTGTGTGCAGCCGCCTCATGTTTTCAAAGGGT